TACTAAAGAAAATATCTGTAATTCCTTGTTGCATATTGATTAATCAAGCTTGTATTAGAAGTGGCATGCAGGGAGGCAGATTTTTTGTACTTTAAAATAAATATGAGAGATTTTCTCAAACTGCTTTACAGGAAAGGGAAGTGGTTGGCTGCACATGATTTAAAGTTCCCTGGGTGTTTTAGGGTTTGGTGGGTTTTTAAATTTTTTTTTTTATTTCCCCTGAAGACTCATGATTACATTTTGTAGTTACAAGAGTGGGATTTGAAATCAGTAACTACTTTCTTGAAGTTTCTGAGTGAAATTTTCTTTAGGAAACAAAAGCAAAATATGAGGTAGAAACCTAGAGCAGGGTACAGTTTTACAGCTGCCACTTTAAAGATTATTCCAAAATTCTCAGTAAAGTTTAGAAATTCCAACTGAGATGCACGTTGTGTCTTAGAAGCACCTGTAAGTAGTAGCTGGGGTGGGACGAATGTTTCTGATCACATTCACAATCCAACTGCTTTCCGTTCTTGGTGGGAACCCTGAGTCAGGCAGTCTCCTACCACCCTCCAGTGGCTTTCAGAGCACACTGCAAGCGACACGCTCGGAAAGCTTATTCAGAAAATAAAAAGGAGGCTGGAGATATTCCAAGCTTTCTGCTGGGGACGCATTTGGATTTTTGTTACACTTTGGATTTATTTGGTGACTTGTTTAAAAGAGCTTTTGGTTCCGGTTAGATGTTACAAAGTGTTGTAGCACACCTGTTCTGTGAAGCATTATGATATTCATGCAGTTGCTTGCATTTGCAGGACATTAAACCATCTGCATTTGTGATGATTTCCAGTCTGTGTGTGTATTGCTGCCAGGATTACAGAATCTGCGAGTGTGACAATTGGCTGTACAACAGTGAAGGGTTCTTTGAGTGGGGCTGGCAAAAGCAACAGTTTTTTCTATTAATTTAGTGACTCAATAATTTGTAAGTCATTATAAATGTCTCCTCTGGCTGCTACCATTTATTTCTGTCATGCTGAGGAGCATTAAGATCTAAATTTCCAATGAAAATTGCATCTGTGTACTTAATTTTGTGCTGTTTTCCTGTTCTTGGTTGCATCTGATATTCTATCCATGGCATGTCACAGTGTCATCAACCTGATTGCTGTATTTTCTTGGAGATCACTGATGAAGATAATAAAACATGACACAACTTATTTTTATCTTTCTATTATGAATGTGGAAAGTCATGAAAACTGCAGGAGCTTCAAAACACAGCAGGGATGAATTTATCAGAGGTTAAGGAGGCATTAATGCTCTGTGTGACATGAAAGGTAGCGCCTGCCAAAATTCCCCACACAACTTTAGGCTGTATCAAGTCCTGGACTATAAAGCAGAAGTAAAGGGGGCTGATGCTTTAATTGCTCATTACATTGTTGTCTCATCCTTTGTTACAGATTTTCAAGCAATTTTTATATCACATAACGGTACTTTTGTCCAAGCAAGTCTGTGCTAACACTAACAGTTAATTTTTTGATACAAGCCTATTGCAAAAATCCTAAAATAGGGAATTGCACTTTTCTGCTCCAGGACGACATAAATTGCTGGCTCATCTACTAACATCACTCATCTAGTAGAGCATGACTCATTTAGTCACAAAGTACTCTCTGTTCAGCCAACCTAAAATACGTGAGTAGGATGGGGAAGTTACATCAGCTGCCACTGGGATCACCAGAAGTACAGCACAAAATAGTTTAATTGCTTTTTTTCTTCTGAGTTCACCTCATCATCACCATAGTTGAGAGAATTATGACTCCAGCAAGGGCAGAGCAAAACAAAAGAGCAGCTTTGGAGCACACTAAGAGCTGTAAAATGTTCCCAGGTAGTTGTCTGTGACAGAGAATCTCTCCTTTGATCTTACTCCTTTCCTGTATCCCAAACTGGGAGTATGAGATATTCTGCAGTGTCCCAGTCCCATAATCACCCATGCCCTGGTGACCTCTCCCAGTGTCTTGGCAGCCACCTTCTGTCTGGTGTGGTAACGTGTGTGGATAGAATGGACAGACAGGGCAGGCAAGGCAGGCTGCCTTGTGGGAGAAGAAAAGGGGGCAGCTGGAGGAAGCACAGTCCAGTAGACCTTGGCTTGCCTTCTGGCTGGATTTGATGAGATGTTACCAAAAAGGCCTGCTTCAGCCAATTTCTGCTGGCTTCCTCTCCTGCGATACCTTTCTTGTAAATCTCAGCAGAATTCTGTGAGCTGGAACCTTTATTTACCTATCCTGCCTGTTGGTTGGTTGATTTTGTCTGGGTGTTTTCCACCTACAAAATGTTTACATTTAGACTAATGCGACCAGCATTTGTCTTTGACTGGGTATTCAGATGAACACAAAGCATTTTAAGTATATTAGAGAGTTAAATGGCTATAAAGAGACTGCACGTATACATGACAATGAAAATTTTGCAGTCTTCTCTCCAACAGACCAAATGGTGTAGCATCAAAGTTGAGATAACAGACAAAATCTGTTTAAGAACAAATCATTCTTCATTATGTTCTTTGTTATCTCTCACAAAGCGCCCACAGGTAAGTGAAGGGTTAAGCTAAAACCCTTTTGTCCATCTGGACAAAGACAAGGGTTCTTTCTTTGGAAAGAAGGTCTGTTACAAGACTTGAATTGAATTTTCACTGCAAAAAAAATTAAAATCTCCTGGTCAAAGGCTGTGTAACCTAGTGGCTCTAAGGAAATAAGACTGTGATAATACCACATACTCTCTGGTCTGGCCACTGAATATTAGCTACACGAACTATAATGAATATAAAGTTTGGGGGATTGTTACTTAAAAGAAAACCAAAACAAACCTTTTTTTGAATCTCCCATTTTTCCAAACTGCCATACAAAACCCAGCAAGCTTAGTTTTCACTCAAAAGTAGATATATCAGAAACTGAAATGAGGTCTCAGCTAACAAATAAGCTGATGGCTCTGACTCTTTGCATATTACCCGGGAAATATTTACATTTTTCTAAATAATTATTTATGCTTTGTGTTCATGAAGTGTGGGAGAAGTGATTCTTGAGAGACCCCAGCAGGACTGCTGCATCCAGTTCTAGTATGGATTCCCAGAGAGTGCCCACTGAGGTCATGTTGGAGAGAGTCCAGAAGAGGCCACAAAAAATGATCAGAGAGCTGGAGCACCTCTCCTATGAGGAATAGCTAACAGTTGAGGTTGTTCAGCCTGGAGAAAAGGCTTTGAGACCTTGTTGTAGCCTTCCAGGACCTAAATGGAGCCTGTAAGAAAGATGGAGCAAACTTTTTAGCAGGGCTTGTTACAGTAGTACAAGGGAAAAGGATTTTAAGCAAAACAACAAAAAAAAAGCAGTATCTGGACTACATTTAGATGAAACTTCTTATGATGAGAATGGTGAAACAGTGGAACAGGTTGCCTAGGGAAGTGGTAGGTGCCCCATCCTGGGAAACCTTATGGTCAGGTTGGATGGGGCTCTGAGCAGGCTGGTCTAATTGCAGATGTGCCTGCTCATTGCAGGGGGGTTGAACAGGACAGGATGAGCCTTAAGTTCCCTTCCAACACAAAGTATTCTGTGATTCATAGAATGGTGACGAGGGCTAGAAAACGTTCTAGAGATTGTGTTTCGAGGCAACAGCTCTGAAACATGCAAGATTTAACTGCCATTAAAGACTGAAGTTTGTTTGCTATGTCCTGCTCTACAAGCAGGAAGAAGTATTTTTGAGAGTTATTCCCCTTGGTGACACAGCACTGACCCTCATCAGGTTTTACTGCAGTTGTGCTCTTTCATAATGTAATGTGACTGCAGAGAGTGTTCACAGTAGAATGGCTATGGCTATGTCAGGTTAAAGGCTTAACATTTAGCTTGGATGGCATCTCCAGCCCTAGCCTTAAGGAACTTAGAAAAATTTGTAATTGCCTGGAAACAAAATTTTAAAAAATCCCATATAGTGAAAACAGCTAATAAAACCAAAACAATCCAAAAACCTAAACGAGAAAAACCAAGACAAACTCACAGCTTGGCAGTAAATGTGCAGCATGGCAGTGCTCTGCAGAGGCTGTGGTTGCCATCCTAGCTGTAGCAGGTGGCAGCAGTGCTGTGGCAGCGAGCTGAGTGCAGCTCAGTCCGGTGTTCACAGAGCCACAGGGAGGTGGCACTCACATCTCATGCTTTGTACTGCTTTCCTCCCCAGCTGCCTGTACTGGCTCCAAGATTATCCATCAGAATTGAGGCATTTTGCTTTTAAGTGCTCTGTTCTTTCATCTCTTTTCAAAGGCAAATGTTTTAGGAGAGAAGGTTTTGTTTTGAAGAAGTGCTGTGAAAAAAACCCATGTCACAAGTGAGATTAAATAAAATCGCCTCAAGAGCGGCATTGTTCAGTTGCAGAGAATAGCCTATTTCATCTTAAAATAGCCTTAACTTAAGCCAGGATTTAGCACCATAATTCAGAAACATGTGCCTGGAAGATCCTCCTTGCATTACTGAGGTTATTTGGCTGCTATCGTATATGGTCATTTCCATGTAATCATCTTTTCAAGTTTATTGAATTTAATCCTCAATGAAGTTGCATTTCCTGTGTCTTTATTTTATGGAAAGACTGTTACATAGCTGCATTCCTATAATTTTAATACATAGTACAAACAGATGTTTGGGCTTTTTCTTCTCTCACCACCAGAAATGCAAATTTAAAGTAAATATTAATCTTTTAATCTGTCTGTTAACATGTTATGGCTGTACTGTAATGAAATGACTTAAGATATCATTCACAAGCAGACAGAAACAGAACAGTATTCTTCATTCCTCTGAATCTATGAAAATGAGATAATTGTGAATTTAACAGGGACAATGCACACACTCCTGTAATGCATATTACCAAAACTAAAGGATTTGTTAATTTTATTACTGCTTGTGGTTTTGGTAGAAAGAGCCACAATGGCCTAATCAGTTTGATGTAAAATTTTACAAGTCAGATTTTTTTAATTACTTTTTTTTTTTTATTTTTAGTGGGAGAAATTGCAGATGACAACAAGTGAGAGGAGAAAAATTGTGTGCTCAGTCACATTCCATATAATTGCAATTACCTGTGTTGTTTGGTCATTGTATGTTTTAATTGACAGAACTGCTGAAGAAATTAAACAAGGCAATGATAATGGTAAGTATCTTTTATCTTTTTCAGTGCTGCTGATAATGCAGTGCCTGCCTTTGAAAAGCAGCAATGTAACCAGTCACATTCTGTTCTTAAATAACAGCTGACATGCCTACACCAGAGGCTTTAATGCAGAAGTTCTGAATGCATCAGTATGAAAATCTTACCTTATGTCTCAGCAGAGAGAACTCTACTCTGTGTAATCATGACAACAGCTTAACCGGCCTGCCGGTTCTTCTGGGTTAATCTCCCATTATCTAGGTAATTCTAAAGCTCAGGCAAAAAGATGAGTCAAGTTCAAACAGCTCAGTGCAAGTTCAGGTCCTTAAATTGTAATTTATATATATTAATCCCCTGAACCTTGATAGGAAGTATGATAGAGCCTCTTCATTAACAACCTTCCCTAATATGAACTTCCAAGAGACTGATTTCCAGTTGTGTTAGTCCTTCATGTGGGATTTGAGCAGCATGGAAAACCATTCTTGTGTCCTTTCAAATAGAATTTCACTGTTAATGTCCATGTTCCAGCTCTATTTATTGGTTATGCACTGGAACAGAGAAGTCATGGAGTCTCATCTGCAGAGATACTGAAAATTCAACTGGACATGTGTAACAAAATGCGTGCTTAATGTCAGTAGGAGCAATACTTAGCATATGTGGAAAATATATCCTAAATTTAACTACTGTTTTCCATTTCAAATCTAAGTTTGCTCTTAAATTCAGTCTTAAATGTGATCATAATGATAAAAAGCTTTTGAGTTTTGATCTGAATTGAATTTAGGCACCCTAGAGGAACAAAGGTCTTTAGGTTTGTGTTATATTCCAAAGCTAACATGGAAAACAAAACAGGTGCCTTGCTAGTTAGATAAATATTTGATGATACTCCTGATGCTTGTCTTTCTTGCCTTAGAGAGGAAAATAAGCAACAAGCCTCAGTAAGTCACAGATGAATACACACTACAAAGTCTTGTTTTGCATTCTATTGAAATGGGTAACCTTGCTTTTTATCTCAAAAAACCTGGCCCAGAGGACAGGACTAGGGATGGCTTTGAATTTCTGTTTATGAGTACAACTACATCACCCTACTCATTACAAGGGGGAAGCTATTTCTGTAGACTAGCTGAATTTACATAACAAAACAGTTAACAGGGATTTTTGTTGTTACACACAATGCATAAGAATCATGTTAATTATTCCTGGTAGGCTCAAAAAGTATTTATGATTTGTATAGCATTCAGTATTTGCCAAATGTAATGGTTGATTCTTTACACTAAAAAATGGACAAAGATATGCCCTGAAGCTACTTAAAACATGCAGAAGTGTGAAAAGGATGCTTTTGGTCCAAAATTTGCTTGTTGCAGGGTAGAGTACTTTTACAAAAGTGAACATGTATTTGTGGGGAATAAGGACATATATGTAGTTTGCTTTCTTCCCCATTTTCACTCTTTAAATGGGAATTGTCAAGACAAAGATAAATAAGCACTGGAGAAAAAACACTTTATAAACATATCTTGAGAAGGAGAAAAATTGAAACCCTGAATAATACTACTATTGTTTGTTAATGTTCGAGTTAAAAAATCCCATTTTAAATGGATATCTCAAATTGGGGTTGCGGGTTTTTTTTCTCTTTAGGGAAGTATATGATGCAAACACTTTAATTGCTAAACCTGACACTGGTTAATAGAAAAGCAGATTTAAAATATATTTTAAATATTCTAGAATTTATATAGCACCAGTGGTAGGGAATCAAGTTTCACATAAATTTACTCTGAATAATTCACATAAATTTACTCTGAAAATTTACTCTGTTTGAATAAACAAGTCTAGGTTCAGCTGTCCTTTCTACTAGTAAAGCTCAAGTCTGAAAACATGGCAATCTGGGAAAAAATTATATACAAAATTATATACTATCTGTCCCATAGAAGTTAATGAAAAAAGATGCTCCTTGTATTACCGCAGAAGCAGCCTATCTATAATATTAAAAAGTGGAAGAAATCCTGAAAGAAAGACTTTGAGAGTGGCATTGATTTTTTGATTGATTTATTTGACCAAATGGTGGTCCAATCATTTAAAAGTAGGAAGTAGTTTCCTATTCCATGGGCAGTTTCTTGGCCAGCCTATGGAATAGGAAACCCCAACAATTTTCCATAGCCACAAGTGCCCCAATAGTGTGCACATACCCAGGCATTCTTAGCCAGTGGCTTCTTTTCAGTATACATTACTGAAACAGTGCTTGATTTTCAATGTATAACATAAACTTTCTATTTCAAAGGTGTCCTCGAATGGCCGTTCTGGACAAAGCTCGTTGTGGTGGCCATTGGATTCACAGGAGGCCTGGTCTTCATGTACGTGCAGTGTAAGGTTTACGTCCAGCTGTGGCACAGGTTGAAAGCCTACAACAGAGTGATCTTTGTTCAGAACTGCCCAGACACCATCAAAAAACTGGAGGAGAAAAGCTCTCCGTGCACTCAGCGCTCGGAGCTGAAGGACGCGGTGGTGGTGCCAGTAGCACAGACAGGTACAAACTCTCAGCCGGCAGCGGAAGAGGCGACGTCGGAGGTCATGCCAGTTTGACACGGACAGCGCTGCTTCTCCCTCGCAGAGTAAGCCGTAGTGTCTGCTACACTACAAATGCTACAAGAAAGTAGAAATGACTGTGCATTTTTTCAGTTTAAGAAGACCCCAACCAAACGAGAAAAAAAAATACCCCACACAAAAACCAAAACAGTACAAGGAAAATGGATCCAGCAAAGCAATTTGTTACTGTAAGGAATGTGACCGTTCGTGATGTAATTTCGCAACTAGTCAGCAAGTGTAGTGAAAGTGCAATAGAGAACAGGTTTAACAGACAATGCCAAACCTATGTAACAATGTACTTTTGGTTTTTTTCCTAACTGGGCTGGCTGGGAAAGTAGAAAACAGAAGTGACACAATGATTTTGTTTACAGAAGACACAAAACCTTTCATCTGTTTACTACTAGAAGTTGTATTTGCTATTTACCTTTTCAGAGATACACTTCAAAGGGTACCAATCCAAGTAATATGCATTAACAGAGTCAAAGTACAGGGAGGTGTACTGCAGCACTTCCTCTCTAAGCCTCGTATGGTAACACCTTCTTGTGACTGTAGAGGAGCCTGAATGTTTGGGCAGCTGTGTCAGCTATGGATATTTGAACCAGTTATTTTTAACTATGGCTGGGTTTTTGAAAAGTAAGCAGTTCCAACCAGTATAAACTCACATTTCCATAAGCTGCAGATAGTTTTTTTTTAAATGTCAGGGAAGTAAGGAAGGAGGCAATATATAGATATGCATTTAGAAGAGCAGCTCCGCTGTTTATTTTACTTTATAGGAGTGAATTAGGCATAAATTGGATACACAAGGTACTGAGGCAGAATTGTAAATGAAAAAAAAACAGTTTACTGCAGAATTACACAGAAGTAAATTGTCTGTTATCAAAGGTCTGAAAAAGGATGACATACTGAAGATGGAAGCTACTTTTGGTTTTATTTTTTAAGATTCATGATACAGAAAGGTAGATGTAATAGAACATACCTACCTACATATCTTAAGAAAACATTAGTTTTTATCTCCTTGTTCTAAAAAGCTAGTTTTTATCTTCCTGACTGAAAAAAACAGATCAATGGTTTCCTTCTGTACAGGTAAACTTAAGGTGTTAGAGATTCGACAGTTCAGTTGTTAATTTCGTGTTTTGAGCACTGGCATATAAAAATGAAGTGTGAATAGCATTAAAAGGTGCAATAGATAAATGAATGTAGATATAATCCTGTGTCCAACAGGGTGAATTATGTATAAGGAACCAATTTTGTGATTCACTTTGCAAAACTGTGGTGTTTACTATAAGGACACAAGAGCAAGTATTGACTCAGAGTAGTTATGTACTGGTGTGCACAAGTCTGGGGCCTGAACATAATGTGTATTTTAAAAAGAAGTTGGAAGTTCTTTTTTTAATCTTGTATTTAGTAAAGGAGAAAAAGCAAAAAGGAATATAAAGAACCAGAGTAATGAGGACAGGAGAGTAGAGATTCACTTAAAGGAGGGGTATCTGCCACAATTACAAGAGAACTGGAGTTCTACAGAAGCCTTGAAGTTTCTACTGGTAAATTTTATCTTTATACACTCAAATATTTACTGTGAAATAACAGATTCATCCCATCCTTGCAAATACCCAGGCTTTAGGGGCTAAGATGTATTGGAATTTATATACTAGGTATTCCTTTGTGAGTGTTTACTGGCTTAAGGCTCAGGGAATACTAGCAGTGTTAGCAAGAAATGTGTCTTTAATCAGATCATTATATTCTTTTGTACTGGAATCGCTCTTGTAATTTGGCTGTGACTAAGTGATGGTTATCTGGCTAGACAGGACACAAAATCTTGGTGCTTTAATGGGTCCTTAATATATGTCAATATTTGCTGTCAGTTATTCCAGGTGAGTTGGATTAATGTTGAAGTTTTTTCATGTAATGGCACACACTTTTTATATAAAATAATTTCCCAACTATACAACTGCAACTTCCAATTGTAGCAGCTTCTTATTTGAAACTACATACAAGAGAACCAAATCATTTCTCCATTTGAAATTGTGGAGGAGATTTCAGAAGGTCTTCAGAGCATGATGACATGACTAAGGAATGTCTAGTAACTGCACATGCTTAAGATAGTCTGCAATGGCATGGTTTTCAAAAGCTACTCGTTAAAAGGTAACTCTCATGATATCTGATGTCAGACACATAAAATTACCAACTGCATCTGAATGTTTGGAAGGATGTTTACAATAAACCTCGGCAAAATTTACTGACAAGGAACATTATTATGAAAGATAACTAAGAGCTTTCTGAAATAATAGTTTCTTATTAAGTGAAAGTAACCCTGCTTCTTTAGCCAGCTTGTTCTTTGACTGCAGTAGCATCATGACCCATTGAAAGTACCTTATCCCCTATTTTGTCAGCTTACTGGAGAGTAATTTGCATTGGGGTTTTTTCCTTGAAGAAGTATAAAATTCACCTAGAAGAAGAAAATACCTGAAGATTCTGAAAGCAGAACTGTAGCATCCAACAAGATTTTACATTTTTTAAAAACACACTGAAGAGTCAGCAACAGAAAAGACAATGTGAAAACTTTTATACTAATGCCTTCAACTTCAACACTGTTCTGGCACTCAACCATATATGCAACTGAGTTTACAGTTAATTAAAGAAAACAGAAAGACTTCAGTTGAAATTCCTCCTCTCCCTTGGAAATACTGAATGGGGACAGCAGGAAAAGGAGTAAAATGGGACACTGAGACAAGTCAGTAAAATGGACAGTGAGACAAGTCACCAGCAAGAGAGATTTCAGCTGGCTTGAAGCAGCCTTTAACCTTTTAAAGCATTACAGTGTTAACCTGTGCATCCCTTTCTCTTCTTAAATGCACTGCATCTTCTAGAGCTTTCAGGAATTTCATGGAGGATTGGAATTAGTTTCTGAAGCAGGGTGCAACCTCTTCAAGAGGGCAAGGAGCTATTCACACCATCATGCCTTGGATTCTTGTCTTCAGTAATAAGGAAAGTACATGGATAGAGAAACTAGACAGATCCTTATCAACCAATATTTTTTCATTCCTAAAGTACAATTTTCTGTATTAATTTATTGACCACAGTATTCTGTCCAGGAAAAAAAACCCACCAAAACCACACAACTAAACAGAACAGTATACTGAAGGTTTTAAGATGAAGCCTAAAGACTTTTTAATGAAGATACCATCTCAAATAACGAACCATATCAAACTCCTGTGTAACCACAGTGCAGCTCTGGCAAATATGCTGACAATAGAATTTGGCCTGGCTAAACCCACAAGGGCAGAACCTGGCTCTGAGCTGCCAGTAGCAAGAACAGCTTGTTCAACCTAAGGTTTAATAAAGGTAGGTAGAAGTAATTTGGTGTCAGGTCAGATCTGGAAGTTTGATCAAGATACTCCTGTATTCACTCCTGTGAACATGCACATTTCTTTTCCTGTGTTTAAGTTACAAGCATTATAATGTTTATTTCAAACTGGCATAAACATACCACTTTTGACTATCAGTAGCATTACAAAGATTCTTGACTAGTCCAACTGTGCCATTCACACACTGCTCTATCTAAAGGTAGTGTTTATTTTTGTTGTGTAGAAAAAATAATTTCCCATCTCCAGAACAAACACTTTATAATTTCCAATAATGCAATGAAACTTACTCTGATGAAAGTATTTTACTGTGTATAATATTCAAAACTACAAGTTTGTGTTATTTGTTTAAATCCCTCTCTTTTGCAAAAGAAAAAGTGTATGTTTTTGTGGGTGAATGTGTACTGGAAGACAGAAGGTAAGGGAAACAAAAGTAATGTATCTGCTTAATGTTGTGAAAAAATGTATTTGTATTAAACAAATTACTCAAAGTACTGCAGTATTCTGCATTTGTCACCTTGTTACCTAGAGCATCACATGCTGAACACGGATTGGCAAGACCACACTCTTGCAAGAAAGGTGAACAATATAACTCAGTTGCTTACTTAATACTGATAAACCTGCTAAGATGCAAGGGGCTACTTCTGGGTACCCTGCCTTGGCAGAATGCTCAGGAAAATACTTCATAGTACAAAAACACTTGAAAATACTTATAGTTGCTTAACTTGCAGGCTTCAACCCTATAAAGAAGCCTAGAAAGCAACTGGTTTTGCATCCATAGAATGGATGACTAGTACTGGGTTTCAACTCCAGGGAGGTAAGAGGATGAAAGCTACCTAAGGAAAGCAATGCCTTGGTACAAACTGCTACAATGATTTTGTAATGTCCAACACATAAAAACTTTAAATATGGACTGGACAGTTAAAATACTTTAAAGCTAATCCCAGCTCAGATTGTCAGCATGGATCCCGTTCCTTTTTTGTACTATTTTATACTTTGATTTGGTGAGGTTTTCTCCTTTTTGGAAATCCTAAAGACATTTCTTAATGAAAAGGATTATTGCATGTTTGCATTATAAAAAAAAAGCCTGTGCATTTTGTGAAGTGTAAAACAAAAAATTGATTAAAACAGAATGTTCCAGCCAAGGTCCAAATTTAGTTTTCTACAGCTCCACCTACTCTATATCTTTCTCGTAGATGGTCAGCTGGGGAGTGAGCTAAGTTTCAAAATACCACAATTCTAGCTGGAATCATATGGCTGATGATTGGTAAGCATATATGTTCAAAACACAGAAGTAATTTTCTAACAAATTTCATTCTGTACATTCAAGGCTAGCCACTTTTTCATTTTCTTAAAGCTGCCCTAACTAGGCTCACTATGTAAATACAAATGGATTCACAAATCCCTGCAAGATACAGAAGAAAAAGCATAAAAAAGAAGTTACTGTAGTAAAGCTATATTAATTTCCATTTATTAGCATACAGAAAAGTGGAACCAATTTTGGTTTCATAATTAAGGGACCAGAGGTATGGGTCCCTAAACCTTTTCGCTTTGCACACAAGAATTTGAATCCCTTGATGAAGGGCACTGTTAGAACACGAAGCAGGGTTTTGTTTAGTCTCATGTCTGTATACACACCTCCCACCCAATAAAATATTAAGGCCGTTCTGCATGAGCTTTCCTAAAAGTAAAAGAAATTGTCAAAGAACTTGCCAAAAACACTGGTATACACATTTCCACTGCCTATGACACAGAGCTCAGAAAATAACCTTGACTGATAAGGAGAATGATGCCAAACTGCTGGAGAATGTGGACCCTGGGACAAACTTGCACTTTTGCTAGTTACAAATACCTGTAATTGATATTAACTGAATTACAGGACTT